AAATAATTGAACGCGGTAAAAACCAAACGTTACCGAAAGATTATCTCTCGAAAGAGTAACATTAAATATTTATAACGCTTGGTTTTCCCGTATTTGATTATTTTGTTCCAGTTATCGATACAATCTTCACATTAAAACGCTGTGTTTAACGTGTTAATTTCTATAATCGACGTTTCTATTATTAATTTATAAATTATTAACAGCATGGTAGAAACGAAAGAATCCATTGTTTCAAGCAATATTAAATATTCGTAGATGTTTGAATTTTCCGCAATCAAAGTCATTATGTTGTGAGATTGGCATGACATATTTATGTCTTTAATTATAAATCTTAAATACAGATTTAATTTTTATTGAAGATTCAAATAATAAAATAGTAAAAATTAAAAAAATATCTTAAGTTATCTTTATTTATAAATAATTGCAACATAAAATATTAAAATAACTTAATGTAATTTATTAATTTTTAAATCGCACCATTTTTCAGAATACAAACGTATCTATGTAATTTTATATATAAAACGTACTAAATGCGTATGCCTTATGAGGTCTAAAAATTTCATGTTCAATATTGCAATAAATTATTATATGTACAACGATATAAAATAGAATGTTAAATGTCTTCTATTATTTTATGAAAATTTTATTTCTATAGAATTATATAGATTTAATCCTTTCTAATTCTTCAAATAAAACAGTAATTTAAAAATAATTGAATTTTGATTAATTTTTCTATATTACTTTATTATAAATTTTAATTTATTTTTACAAAAATTAAAGGATACTTCCCAATTTCTTAATACATCTTGACATTAAGTCGTTGTCAGTGACTTAAATGGAATCAAATGTGTATTACAGTGTACATTGCAGTTGCACAATTTCGCGCGTGTGCATAGAATTTTATTTTTCAATACCGTGCTAACGCTTTACAGTATTTTTTGAATTTGCGATAATGATGAAAACTACGTTTCCATTTCTTCCATATTTTCTTCTTTTATTTATGTATAGTTGTAATTAATGACTATTCATCAGAAAATACATATAAGCTTATACAGATTTAATACGAATAGTGTTATACTGATGATTACGACAATTGGAACGCAATTTATGCTACTGTATGCACGAAAGTGTCTAAAGATACCGTATTGGAAAGCACCCAAAGTAAATAAATAGAAATGAAACATGAGTAAGATGAATCTAACAATCTCAAATCAGTTTTAAATTTTAATAAGATCTCCTGATAAGTATTCTCTGCAAAATATTAAGTAACATTAATCTAATTATTTAACATAACAAATTCACCATACTTATTGTTAGTATACATCGCGATTATCATATATAAAAAAACAAAACAATCTGCCAAGATTTAATTCCATCACATTTTTCAATATCTAATTTTTATAAATTTTATAAGAAAAGAATTTTCTGAAACAATTTTACAAAGTCGATTTTACTAGATTTACTAATAAGTAAATCTAGTAAAATCTTGTAAAATTTTGTTTCAGAAAATTCTTTTCTTATAAAATTTATAAAAATTAGATATTGAAAAATGATGGAATTAAATCTTGGCAGATTATCTCGAACTATTGTTTCTGAAACAATTTTACCAAAAAATCGACTTTGTAAAATTGTTTCAGAGGGTGTGTTCCAAAATTGACTGCCAGTACTGAAAACCTATAGTGCTCGTAACGTAAACTATAGATTTTCAGTACTGGCAGTTAATTTTGGAACACAGCCAGAAACAATAGTTCGATTCAGTATATCTATCTCTTTTTTCTTTGTTATAGAAGTATTATTCTGTAGTTTCATGTGCTCTTGCAGGAAGTGGCAGGACTGTGTCGCCCACAGTTAAGGATCCTTGACTGAAAACTTGCGTCTCCTTAGATACACCTCTCGGCGAAGTTGTTACACGACTGTTTCGCATTCTATTAATCGGCAGTCGTCCTCTAATCATCCTGTACCATCCCCTCTGACGTTTCGCGAGGGGACTTGTTGTGCCCAGTGTAAATGCAGTTGGATTTTCCTTCGGGGATATCTCACGAGATCGTTTACGAACTCGGCTGCTGCTGGTACCGCTGGATGATTCTGGCGAGGATGATAATTTTTCGACGATCTCTCGTTGTTGAATTACTTCGGTTGCTTCAATGCTTTTCGGTATTCTCAAACCCGAAACTAAAATTCCGAAAAAAGTTAGAAGTTAAAGTTAACGTGCGAACGTAATATCTTATCTTTCAATCACTTAAATAGTTAATTTATGAATGATTTTGAAAATTTGACCAACCAGATAGACTTCTTAAGGCGTGCTTCATAGCTTGCGTAACGGATGACAGGAATCCACCATTGTTACTATTTTCGCTATTTTGTATGGAAGAAGACGAAAATTGTCCGTTCGCTGCGTTGTCCACAGAATAATTCTCAACACTCTCGACACTCATTTTCATCGTTGTAATAGATCTTCTACAGATCTTAGTAGGTTCGGCCGTATTCAGAGATGATTGACGATTTGACACAAGTTGCTCTTGTAATTTTTTCAGACCTGAACTGATCAGAGGCATCAGATTGGTGTCCAATCCTCCTGAATTGCTTTCCATCAGCACCATCATCAGCACTCTGTTGGAATCTTTTTGATTTATAATTGACCAACCATTGTTTACTTCACTGCTCATATCAGAATTTTGATGCTCTTCCTTCAAATCATTCGTATTATCCCGAATAATCTCGATTTGCGAATTATTTAAAAAATTTTTCGGGGATTGTATTAAAAATTGCTTTTTGTCTTCATCTTGGTTATCATTTGTGACCTTTACATATTTCGCAGTGTTCGTATCTTTTATGCTGTTCGTATGCATTGTGTTATTTACTTTAATGCCTTCTGTTGCAGTATCTCCCTTATGCGCATCATGAGACTTGTCCTCCTCCATCGACATGTTGAGAATAGTCTTCACACAGGACTCCATCAAATCCCCAAACTCCGGTGCGGATTCATAACGATCAGAGAATCTTACCTTCTTCACAATATCCTCGCAGACTTCATTTGACATAGGTGAATCCAAGATACCACCTTCGGACTGTGTCAAGTTCATGTTTACAGACGACAATATTTCACTCACGTTCGCAGTTATTATCTCAGTATTGTTGTTCACAATCTGTTCTTGCTCTACTTCCATAATGCTTAGTCTCCTACCTGAATTACTCCTAACGAATTGTTCATTTTTACTGATCCTAAATGGCGTTGTCTCTTCGTTTGAGCTGTACAGCAGACAGCTAAAATATTGTGTCTCGCTCGTCTGCGTTTTCGAGATCGACGGGATCTGTGCGATCGATGAGTTCGTATTAGGCGTTTTGAAACTGAATTCCGGTACAAGGAATGTCTCACAACCGGCCTTTTGACTAAGAAGCATCGGTGTACTGGTCTTGCGATAGATTTCTGGCGGCGTGCAAAATCTGCTGCCGTTATAATCGCTTTCGCTTGTAGAATACTGCTTTGATTTCTTCCCGAGGTGCTCGTAACTGGACGGTGATGTTAGACAATTCCAACGTTCAAAACACTTGCACGCACCTAAAGTTTTATTTAAAAATGTGATATTTATCATTAAAAGAATACCCAACATTGAACATAAAGTCTATTTACAGATTTAAAAAATTTACACGTTACACATAATTTAGAGAGAGAATTAAAATTTTTTATTTATTACTTACATAAACTTTACTTTATATGTCTAAGTAACAAAACTTTTATTTTAAAATAGAGATAAGACTTTACAGATAAAAATAAACTAAAATAGAAAAGAAAAGTATCATGTATTTGACGGTCATTTTTTTTTACCCAGACAGCATACAATATATATTTATGAAATATTTTGTAAATATTTTAATATTTATAAAATATTTTATAAATATTTCTAACAGACTGTAATGTTTATTGTATAAAAGAATGAAATAAATGTTATTATTAAATTTATTATGTGATCTGAATTATATCGACATATATCGATTAAATATTTTCTGAATGTAATAATCGCCTCTAAATTGATAGAATTTTAATGAAACTTGTCCTTCAAAATTTGACTTTAAAACTAAATAACAGATAACATTTTTATTTTTGCAAGTAAATTTTTGCAAATAAATTATTATAAACTGTTTGTATCTTATTATTAATTCGTTTTGTGAATTACCAACGGACTTGAAATTTTCTTTGGATTCAAATAAGTCACCACACAACTGGCAACATAATGGCAAATGTTTGTCTACTATGTGACACAATAATTTCTCATCTTCCAAGTTTAATTTCGTGGACTCATACTGTCGTACCGGTAATATTTTAGAGGCGCATAGGGGACAATCGGCGTTCACGTTGGGATGCACTTTGTCGACGTGGCAATCGCGACATTTTGTACAGCAAAATATTTTATTGCAGAACTGACAGGATACGGCCGTCCGTCCAAATTGAAAAGTCGTTGGAAATCGAGATACAACGCTTTTCTTAAATATTTTGTCTTTCAACATATCGAGATGTGATTGCCAAAACGATCAAATGTATACTAACTATTCAACGACAAATAGTTCGTCAATACGTTGGAATAATAACAATAAACGGATATATATATATATATATATGTATATATATCTACATAAATAGTATAAATATACAAAAATCAAGGTCTACAATTTATAACATTTATGATAGATTATAAATATTGTTTACAATAGATTATTATTTTATACATATTTTCTAATTTGTACTTATAATCGCAAATTGAAAGAACTCGGGATAAAACAATTTAAAATTATATTTCGGTCTCTCTTTTTCGATTTAAATTTATAAAAAGAACTAAATACTTTTTTATACAAATAAAAAATTTTATTTAACAGTAAAAATTAAGGAATTTATTCTCAATAAATGTTTGATTTCTAGAAATTAAATTAACAAATCAGAGATTATAGAGTTTATTTTTTAGGATATAAAAATTTTTATATATTTAAATAATAATTAGCGTATATATAATACCAAGAAATAAATTAATTGTTTTGCAGTGCATTCAGTTATCCGTATTTTCTGCTTCTTTAGGTATAAGTTTAAAAATTGTGATATACTGATGTGTATGTCTGTTTTCTCTTCAATATTCTCTCAATAATCAAGTTTTCATTAAATTCAGATTATTTTATCTGAAACATTAGGAACACTAGCAGCAATCAACACTTCAGACGTCTCATTTGTGCATTCATTTACTTCATCGTTTTTCTCGCTGAAGCCAGTGTTATAGTCAGAAATGTCAAGCTGATATAAATTTTGTAATCCGATGACTATTTCCTCTTCGCTACTTTCATCCTGCACAACTTCCGCAGAGATACTTGCCTCATTGTCAAAGTCATTATCATCAGAAATCAATTTGATTTGAGATATTGACGATTCATTTTCACATTCTATTGCTGCTTTGATGTCCAGCGAGCTCAAGTCGACGTCAATGTCATTTTGATTGGAAGTAGAACCACTTTTCTCAGCTCTTTTTCTGTTCATTAACAATGCTTCCGCATAAGGCGGTGCTATGGGAGCTTGTACTGGTTCATGGTACTTGTATTCCTTACCATCATACTGAATATTTACAAATAAGATAGTATGAGATATAATAATATAAATCAAATATAAAAAAATACAAGAAATAAAAATATCAAGAAATTTTCTTCTACTTTATTTCAACCATTTGATTCACAATTAAATGTAAATATATGATATTATACTCACATTTAGTGGGTAGCTCATATCGGAATCGGGCTGATTGAGATCTCCACACACAACGAATGGAACAATGGTCCTATTCACTCCTGTCAATTTTTCGAAATCCCACGACTCCTCCATCATCCAAGGATTCAACATATTTGGTTCATAACCTTCTGGCTGACTGTAATCCTTACAGACTACAAAAGCCTCAATACTTGAATTACGGGAACTGCTGGGTTTTGTGCAATAGACGTAAGGGAAAAATATTCTCAGTTGAGCATATAAAAGTGATACATCCTTAGCACGAAAGATCTTTGCTACAAATGTTCCTCCAGGTTTCAGAATATACGTAGCTATGTTCAAAGCAGCCAATAGCAACTGTGACTGGATAAATATATCCATATCATGTAGACCGGTTACTATGGTCAAAATTAAATTTATTAATGATTTCAAAAAATTTGTAAAAATTTTTAACAAGAACAAAAAGTAATAAGATGTGTACCGTCAGGTGCTCCATCACATACCACCAAGTCTGCACGGGAGTTATCAAAGTGTGCAATAATCTGTTCTGCTGTGCTACTATTAGTAATGTCACCTTGTAGTTGGACAACTCCTTCCAAGGGTGCCATTGCTTGTAAATCAACTGCGATGATTTTTGGTTTAGGTGCAGGACCTTTTTCTAAAGCCTTCTTATAGTTTTCACTACAAAACAGAAATATACAATTATTTTACATACTAACAACAATTTCTTATTACATAGCACAGATCTTATTTAGTACTTGAACTTATATAAAGTTCACTTACTTTAGCTTACGAGCTAAGACTTGGCTCCAGCTTCCAGGTGCAGCACACAGATCCACTGCTTTGGATACTCCTGAAAGAAAGAGAAATGATATTCTTCTCATATAAACACTTTAGTTTCACATTTATTATTTATTATTGTTAATTTTTTACATTTTTTTTCATTATCTAAATATCATATGTAATCTTAGTTTGTATGAAACAGTTAGGATAAAAAGTGATAAATAAAAAAAATCAATTAATTGCTGCTGTACGCACCATCAAAAATATGACACTCCGAATCAATTTGGAGTAGCTTGAAAGCACTCCGGGCTCGCCATCCTTCTTCCTTCGCCTTCCTATAATATATATCACGCTTATCCTTTGAGGTCTTTCCCATTTTCTATCAAAATCAAACTTTCTATTGCACGAAAGTATCAGAAAGTTTTTAAACAAATTAAAGCGTCTCAGAATGCAAATCTTATCCTACAGCACTCAATTCTGGAGAAAAGCATAGTGCACTTGATGATGAAGAAAAGTAGACCTCTCAGTCAATATGACAAGAGTCGCGTTGATTGGTCCGCCATGTTCCAGCAATATCAGCCCTATATTTACGTATGTACCTATATTTGAAAATTTAACAATATAATTAAAATTACATATATTAAAGATACTAACAAATAAATATTTTTACATTTATATGTCGAAATAATGCATGTGAAAAGAATTGTTTAGTTTAACACCTTTTTTTACAAAATTTTTTTTAAATTTAAACCTAATAAAATTATAAATATTCTAATAAATTTATTCACTTTTGTAATTTTAATTTTGTTTCAAAATGCACAATAAAATCTTTAAATGTTTAAAATAATTTTGTAAAAAAAAGTATTTAACTAAACAATTCTTCTTGCATGCATTATTTCAACACGTAGTGTAAAGAAATTGATTTGTTAATATCTTCAAAATATCTAATTTTAAACAAATTAAGTTGAAATTTAAAAGTAACACAAACGTAGGTATGCTGGGGTGCGTTCCAAAATTCGACTCTTGTCAACTCTGAGTATCTTTCATCCTTGTTGTTCGCCGAATGTTGAACAAAGATAAAACATACTCGTAGTTGACAGAGACGAATTTCGGAACGCAACCTAAATATAGGGCGGGAATTCCTGAAACATGGCGGATCGAGACAAACAAGCGACATTCTCATGTCGTAAAGCCCAAGACACAATGCGAGGGAATAGCGATAGCGATAAGTTTCAACCTATCAAAAATGTGTATTCCGGTGTATTCGATTTCTGATAAGTTGAAACTTATCGCTATCGCTATTCCTTCGCATTAGGTGCATCCAGAAGCACGACCGCTCACTGAGCGCTCACTGAGCTCTTGTATGTATGTACCTGTTTGGTTTATATTTTTAGATCTGATGGAATATGTCAATCAGATAAAAAAGCTCATTGAGCGCTCAGTAAGCTTTTGTACCTGTTTGGTTTATATATTTAGATCTAATGGAATATGCCAATCAGATAAAAAAGCTCATTAAGCGCTCAATGAGCGGTCGTGCTTCTGGATGCACCCATTGTGTCTTGTGCTGGATTCACACTGCATCCGATTTTCGTCGTACGACGACTCTGCAACCAATCAGAAAAATTGTATCATCAATGCGAAGCAAATTCTGTTAACTGAGCCCCAACACAGACTTTTGCATAACGCATAAAGGAGCCTACAGACCAGAGCGGCGCAGCGGTGAAGCGGCGAGCGATAGCCAATGAGAGCCATGCTTTTACGCTTAAAGCGGGGAGCACAGACTTTTGCATAACGCATAAACCATATACATAAAGAATTTGATTGGTCCACTGACTCATGCATAAGAAAATGGACCAATGAAATTCCTTATGCACATGCTTTATGCGTTATGCAAAAGTCTGTGCTCCCCGCTTAAAGGTTGATTTATACTGGCCGTAAACTGTTAACTTATGCCGTAATCTGTAAAAATTGACCAATCACAGTCGAATGAGAGGGGAATAATCGATTATAATTGGTCAATTTTTACAGATTACAGCATAAGTTAACAGATTACGGCCAGTATAATCACTATAATCCAACCTTAAAGCGGGGAGCACAGACTTTTGCATAACGCATAAACCATATACATAAAGAATTTGATTGGTCCATTGACTCATGCATAAGAAAATGGGCCAATGAAATTCCTTATGCACATGCTTTATGCGTTATGCAAAAGTCTGTGCTCCCCGCTTAAAGAAGTATTTAGTAGTGTCATCTACCATAGTGACGGCCAACTCGCATTTGATTTTAGTTTTCCCGAATGACTATAGATGATGCATCAAGCGAAAAAAGTAACCGTTTTGCAAACCGCGACATCTCGCTTTCCGTGTTTCCCTCTTTACTTACGTGTTCTACAATGGTCGTCAACATCTAAAAAAAATCAGAAACAGGCCAAACAAGTGGGGAACGCACCTGTGTATGTTAGTCGAGGATTGTCGTGGATTGTCGTGAATCAAAACTCAAGAATAGATCACGAAAGGATCAGAAGAGAAAGTAGCAACGCGACAAAGGAGAAAACGCATTCGTACGAAAGAGCAGCGACGAACTAATAGACATTTACTCTTGTATTGACGTTTCATTCTCTGCGATCGAAAAGGTATTCGATTCTCCTATAGGATTATATCCCACTGACGAGACACGAACAAAACATTGATATCAATCGGTCGTTTGATATGTATATATATGTATATAAAACGGGAGCTCCGAGAATAACAAATGATAAGATGGCGAATTTTGCAAAGAGGGCGAGAATTAACGACGTTGTCATAACAGCCTTTGCTCTCGTGCATAGAAAAAAATTTACGTGGTTGAAAATACTTTTTCAATTATTAGAAAAATGGAATTGGGATTATTTTTGTATGACGAGTCGTTTTTGCGTGCATTAAAAATGTCAGATTTAAATGAACATCTATACTATAAAATCCAGTTCCTCTTAAATCACACAATGCTAGAAATTGCTCTCTGAGATCCTGGATTAATAAATTAATAAACATTGAATAATTTGGCTATGTGATCAATGTTCAATTCTTTTTCTATCCAAGATCTCGGAGAAATTTAAAACATTATGGATAGAAAGCTTATTATGGTTAATTTTTTTTTAGAAAACGTGGTTTACACAAATGTTTTTTATTATCTATTCATTGAATGCCAGTAAGGCTGTGTTCAGAAATATCACCCGAGTATCCTCGTGTATAATCTTATCCTTGTTTAACATTGAATGAACAACAAGGATATGATACTCTAGAAAATTTGGACTTTCTTGTTCTTTTTTTTACACATAGAATTTTAGAATATTGTTAATATACAAAATAATTTCAGGATAATCTTCCATTTGAACTTTATCTTATTTAAATTATCACTCTGTAATTACTTTGTTACTAAAAACTTAGAGAAAGAAATAAGATTTAAGCATGTTATTATCAGTTAAAAGAACATTCAAAAATATTGTAGAGCCTTGATTCAAAGTATTACTTTGGACTATAAACAAATCTGTTTTTGTATAGATGCCTAACATAAAGCTACAAAGCTCTGATGGTGAGGTATTTGAGGTTGATGTTGAGATAGCAAAGTGTTCTGTCACTATCAAGACTATGTTGGAAGATCTTGGTATGGATGAAGATGAGGAAGAAGTTGTACCATTGCCGAAAGTAAATTCTGCAATATTAAGAAAGGTGATACAATGGGCTACATATCATAAGGATGACCCACCACCACCAGAAGATGATGAGAACAAGGAGAAGCGTACTGATGATATCAGCTCTTGGGATGCAGATTTCTTGAAAGTAAATATCTGCTGAATTTTATAAAATAATGTAATACATATTATAAAAATTTATATATATCTATGTATATCTATATATGTTAATGTGTTAATATTATATAAATACTTTAACAAAGGTTGATAAAATATTTTTAAAAGGTTGATAAGATCTTTCTAATACCTTTAATTTGTATTTATATTGCATAGGTGGATCAAGGAACTCTCTTTGAATTGATTTTGGCAGCTAATTATCTTGATATAAAAGGTCTTTTGGATGTTACGTGCAAAACTGTTGCTAATATGATCAAAGGCAAGACACCTGAAGAGATTCGCAAAACATTCAATATCAAGAACGACTTTACAGCTTCTGAAGAGGAACAAGTACGCAAGGAGAATGAATGGTGCGAGGAAAAATAAATAGAATCGCGATTTTTTACAGTTGCGAATAACTTTTCAATGTTAAATAATTCATTGCGTTACTAGATGTCGGACTTAACCAGAGCTCCGTTACTTTAAGAAATTTTTGTGTAAAAATTTGTGTTTTGAAGACGAAATCTTAATTGACTATAGTCAAAATCAAACATTGTATGAATATCACATAGGTCCATTGTTATTTATTTCAACTGAATAAAGATAGAATAATTGTGAATTATTTATGTGGATATACATACTTCGCTTTTAAAATTTAATAGAATCCTTAGATGTTCATCCAAGGACATACTTTGAATTTCAGTTGCAAGCTTCTAGCATACAACTATAGACAATGCTGATAATTTTATATATTATAACATTATAAATTATATATTTAAGACATATTACATATATATACACATGTGTTTAATGATACTAAAAATAAACTGAGAGGTAATTATTTATACTTTTAATTATTTACTTTCTGTTACATTTTTCAAATCTTTAGGAAGCAAGTAAAATTCTAAATATAAATATAAAAATTTAGCCAATACTAAATTTTGTAAGTCATAATTCTTTTCTTGTAACTTTCGCATTTACGTGCAATTTGTAAGATTACAAATTGAGATACCATGTCTCCTAACCTCAATATCAAAACCTAACTTACAATGTGCTTCATTTAAATAAATATTTTATATCTTATTTTATTTATATTTTTATATTATTTTATTTATATTATATAATGAAAAAAATTTTTTACTAACATTAATCATTAGAGGAATACATTTCTTTAAATAATGCTAATGAATACGTTAAGTTTATACTATGAGCTGAACAAGAGAGTATCAATACAAGCAACTATTAACTATTTATATGCAATACTAATAATTATGTAGATGTTTTATATTTGTAATATAAATCAACATTTATTTCTAAATGTGTACAAGTATTTAAACGTTATATTCTCACGTTTTTTTTTTAAGGTAATTGTATTGACATTAAAAATACAAAATAAATGATAGAAATGCTCCAAAAGCTTTACACAATAAATGTAATCGGTTTTTATCTTGTCGAATCAGCTAGAGATTAATAGAATAGATTAATAGAATATATTAATATCATGATTTAGAAAACTAAAAGCAGCAAAAGAAATAGTTTCTAATTATTTAAAATATACAATATGGTTTGAATATTTATTGATATTGAGTTTGATATTTTGGAGTATTGTGTATCTTATTCTTTAATACCTTGGTTAATAGGTTTCGCGAAGAAACCTGGATTTGTCAGGATCAAGGATTGAGGATTAAGGATTCTTTAATACTTGGATAAAAAAAATATCATTATTCATATATAATATATTTAATTGGAATTTTTATTGTTCTGGATATTTATGTTGAACTTACATGTTGACAGAATCCTTAATAGGGACATGCTTTCTTCAATATATGTATACCTATAAATCCATTGCATATATATGTGTATATATATATATATATATACAGATCTATCCTTTCTTAGAATGTTTCATATATGTATATGAATAGGAATTAAAGAATATCTAAAAAAAATATTTTCTAAGATTTTTTGATGTCTCATTCTACTATATTTGAAAAAATACCTTAATTTCAGATTTTATAAGTTTTTTTCAGAAATTATAGTATATGACGAATTAGATATCTTATAGAAATCTCAGAATTTACATATATATAAAGAATTATAAATAAAAAGATGCAAACTTTTTTCTTTTCTGAAGTGTTTCTATTTGTTTAAAGACAATCTGAGAAAATTTTTAAAAAGTTATAAAATTATTCAAAATTTCTAAAAAATCTTGAAATATATATAAAAATTCTGAAAAATTACATTAAAAATTTAGAAAATAGTTTTTTTACACACACACACTCACGCATGGTACCAATTTTTCCTTCAAATACCAATTCAGTGTCAATAATGTTTTTTTATTGATCTTTTCGAACACTACTCAGATTTCTCCCTCTCTCTGATACAACCTATTTATACCATATTTATACATAAAATGTGATTAGTTGATCGTTCAAAAGACAAAATCGACAAAGAAAAGATTATATTCTTTTTAGCTATTTAGTCGAGAGCTTATTTTTCTGCGCGTGTGTATAAACATTTCTAGAATTTCGTACGATTTTCTATGCAGATTTATGGTAGAAGAAAATCACCATGAATCCATCATATAGTATACATACGTGCAGATTGTAAATGCGGCCATTTAAATATTTATAATAATTTTGAAGTGGCGATTCGAAAAACAACAAAATAAATAAAACTAAAAAATAATCGTTGAAAAGAATGAATTCAGAAATATACATTTTTTATCGCTTCTCAAAAGGAGACAGCGTTAATATTAAAAGTGGGAAGAAGCTTTTGGATAATTAATTTTTATTATGACAAAAGGTAAAACCAAATTTATTCTATATTGCAAGCACACACAAATATAATTAAAAACACAAAAATAAGTAAAATAATTGTGACACAAGGCCTAATTCAAAAAGCAACATATTAGCGACACGCCATGGTATTATATTTTCATTGACTGTTAAAAATGTATGCGACTTTCCATTATGTATGATGAGTTCCAGTCCCACTCCCACCATGGTCACTATTCCCACCACATTGCGTGATGCACAACATATGATATATTACTAAAATGTGAGGTTATGTGGCATAAGGATCAGCTCTGATCAGCTCTTGTTACTGTTGATAAAACAATTTTCTTCGTGAATACAAAAAAGTAAGCTGCATATAAACAAGATATCATCTGTGTGATGTGTTCCATCTACTTCTATCTATTATTGACTGTATTTATATCCATCTATTTATCTCACTTTCAAATGAACATTTATAATAATTTTATAACGTTTTTCAGAGAGCAAAACGTTAAAATGTCGTCGTGGAAGAAAGCCGCGAAAATGAACCAGAAGACCCACCGGGAACGTCATCAACCGGACGCCCGCAAACATCTGGGGCTGTTAGAGAAAAAGAAAGACTATGTTGCCAGAGCTAAAAACTTCCAGGAAAAGCGGGCGACAATCAAACTCCTAAGAAAGCGTGCACTGAATAAGAATCCAGATGAGTTTCATTTTCATATGATCAATTCCAAAGTGATGAATAGTGTTCATCGAGAGAAGGACAAGGAAGATCAGCACACACCTCAACAAATCAAGCTAATGGAGACACGAGACCTCAAATATGTAGCATATAAGAGGAACATTGAGACAAAGAAAATAGACAAGTTGCAGAGTCAGTTGCACATGATTGATGCAGCCAATGAGACACAGAATCAGCATATCTTCTTCTTAGACGACGATGAGATAAAGGATTTTGACCTTGCCAAAAAATTGAATACACATCCAGCGCTTCTGTCCAGGCGTACAAATCGGCCTACTTTAAATGCAATCAAAAATATGAAGCTACAGGAATTGGACAATAAGAGTATTGTTAAGTTCGAGCAAAAGAAACACATGGCTTATAAAGAACTCGAGAAGAGAATTGACAGGGAACGTGAACTGACAGTTGTGCAGCAGAAGCTGGAGGTACGTAGAGCGCTGAAAGATAAGAAAGACAGGAAACCAAAATTAGTGAAATCTGGTTCGAAGGATGCTGCTCCTATTTATAGGTGGAAGTTTGAGAGAAAACAATAACTGATTTGTGTATTATAAAATTCGGTTAGTGTATAATATTAGTCAATTAATTTGAATGTCAAATAAAAATTTATACACAGCTTTCATTATTTTCATATCAATCGTTTAATAATTAATATCGTTGATTATCGTTTAACACCTATCAGTTGATAATAAAAATTTGCATACTTTGATAAGATAATAAGTTATTTTATTATAAATAATGATTTAATAACAATAATAATGATTAAATTTATTTTTAATTTATATTACTTATTTAGTATATGTATCTATTATATTTATATAATGAAATATGATATTTTTAGATAAAAAATAAAATGAAATATAAAGAAATATTATCATATACGTAATGAAATATTATCATATTGAAAAATGTCATAATAATTTTATTAAGCGCGTTACTCATTTAGTCTACTATCTTTGCTTATCTAACCCCATCTATCGTTTTATAATTCATAAATTAATCTTTTTTGATATTTTTGGGTGTGTTAAGTTAGCACCCCAACTATAGTACTCAGGAGTTCTGATTAGAGTCTCCACTTCCTTTTAACGAGACGAAGAGTTCAAGAGTTCCGCTTAATAAACATTAAAAAAAAATTAATGGGGTACTAACTTTTTATCGAATTTCGAGGTGGAATAGTTCTGAGCGGCTTAATAGCTTCAATTTGCGATTGCCTAGAGTTCCTGATATGTAAAAAAAATTTTCGAATATTAAAAAAAAATTAAAAATTTTTGAAAAATTAATTTCTAGATACAATAGTTCTGATGATAATTCCTATTTCTTTTTGACGATACGAAGAGTTCTCTATGATTTTTAATAACATATGCGCTTAATAATCATTTTTTAATAATTTTTTAAAAATGGGGTGCTAACTTTTTGACGAAATTCAAGGTAGCATAGTTCTGATCAGCTTAACAGGACTATTTTGTGAATACCTAATTGTTTTTTATGTATCAAAAATAGAGTTCTTGATACATAAAAAATTATTAAAAAATGATTATTAAGCTCATATGTCATTAAAAATCATAGAGAACTCTTCGTATCGTCAAAAAGAAGTAGGAATTATCATCAGAACTATTGTATCTAGAAATTAATTTTTCAAAAATTTTTAATATTTTTTTTAATATTCGAAAATTTTTTTTACATATCAGGAACTCTAAGCAATCGCAAATTGAAGCTATTAAGCCGCTCAGAACTATTCCACCTCGAAATTCGATAAAAAGTTAGTACCCCATTAAAAAAAAATTTTTTTTTAATGTTTATTAAGCGGCACTCTTGTTATTAACTATAGGGAACTCTTCGTTTCGTCGAAAGGAAGTGGGAACTCTAATCAGAACTCCTGAGTACTATATAGTTGGGGTGCTAATTTAATACACCCGATATTTTTAGTTATATATTTTACGTTATATTTATTTATATATATTTATGTTATATTATTAATTATTTCTCCCAATAGATATTCCGCAATTATTTTTCTGTTTGCAACAATCACAATTACGATCGTCATTTAATCGGTATTATTTCTTCAGAAATTTCCGATATCTCAGTGATATCCTCTGCTTCTTCTGGCCTTCCGCTTGTTTCCATAATATTTATTTCCGACGTTTGCACAATCGCTGATTCGCTCGATGTCATTTCCGTCATTGTATTTGTATCGTCAGTTGCCATCATCGGCAATTCTATTGTTATGCTTATGCAATCGTAATTAATCTGCCAAAGTTGTTTCTTGGCGTAAATCTCAAGGCGAAGGCAAGCCGTTATAGATCTATATAGAAAAATCATGTTTTTAGAAATTGTAAATTGAAAATGTATATTTAGAAATAAGCTATTAGCTTCACCAAAGTGAAAATAATTTATTTTATTGTGAAAATAATTGCACAATAAAAATCACAATTAAATTAATTAAAGGCACATTTTAGATTTTTTCGATTGCAGATTTCTAAATATTTCTAAGCAAAATAATAATTTTAACACGTACGTAGGATATTGATTGAGTTGTAAGATATTGACACATGCGGTTGAAAAAAGACAACCGGGAACAAGTACGCAAAACTGGAACGCCTTAAAATCTACAAAATAAGTCTGTAGAAACAAAATGCTTACGGATAAGTGCATAGAAATGCAATAATTCTCTTTAAAGCGTACATATATTGTTATCGTCATAAATTCATTCTTAGATACTCATGGATTCGCGTAGATCAAAATTGAAAATACTAACTCGTGACTGTTCTCGTATTGATTGTGTTCGAACTCAATGCGACATCCACGTTCAGTCCATTCCTCTGATATGTAAAATTGACACATACTACAATATATAACATGAAATATAATATAATATAAAATAGTAATTTAATTTTGTATTTATTATTTTAAATATTAAGCCGAATTTAGACTCACAATCTTTTTGCTCTCTAGTATACAGGATTATCACACTTTGACAGCAAGAACAGGAGAAAGACATCAAGCAGTTGCATGATTGTCTTGTAACCGTGATGGTTCTATAAATCAACAATCCTCTTGATATGCCGGTGCCTAATAAATGTTCTCTTATTTAATTTTATTAAAAAAATTGTAATATATATAATCAAATTAAAAGCACACACGCGCGCATCAAAAAATTAAATAATAAATAAGAAGCTCTAGCACATTTTTTTAAAATAATTTAAAAATAAATTACTTAATAAATCGCGCGCGGTAGAAATAAAATGTTTTCATCTGATATTATGATTAAAAGTTAAAATAATTGTACCAACTTCTATTAACGGGGATAGTTTCATGAAGGAAACACAACCAAATAAAGACAAGAGCACCAATCCTACGAAGATCCATATTTACATATTACGTTAATTATATTTACTCATTAACGAGTTCCAATGACGGCTTGTTTTACACTAAACGCTTTCTGCCTTTCACATTTCGTCCACCGTATACAGGATGCAATCACAAGCTATTGTATTGGGAACCTTTAGAAAATGTCCGGAACGTTTTTGTCTCCACCTGAATTATATAGCGTAATATTCACCATTATACTCTCGTAGAGAGCATTTATTGTTCCCTACATGTCCCTTATATATACGAGATCAAAAAACAATGCACGTTTTTATAACAAAGGTATACTGCACATCAAATTACAAATGTTGCACAAATGTACACATACATCGTTTCTCCTACATTATTTGATATTTAAATAATATTTAAAATTTTAATGAAAAGAAATAGTATCGATCAGTAAATGGAAATATAACATAAAAAAGAATAGCATGCATTTCTTCTTTCTTATATATATAATTAATAAAACATCAAACATATAATTTTCTGAGAATGTAATTTATTAAAACTCTGAATATTAAATAAAAACTGACCGAGAAAATAATTCAATCAAGACAGATATTCGTGTCTAATAGTATTCTTATAAAAATATCATTAGATATCAAGATCAGTCTTGACCAAATATAGCTTCTTTACTTAATTGCATTTATTAAAATATAATGATATAAATACGCATACATGGCACAATATAATTTATACTATCACTATCCGTTAAAAAAAATGTTTAATATATATCGTCGTCGTCGTCATCATCGTCATCATCGTCATCATCGTCGTCGTCGTCGTCATCATAATCATCATTATTATCCACGTCTTCCGGAAAAAATTCTACTTGGCCTAAACCACCTCCGTCTTCTGGTTTTAACAAAGCTAATCCGTTTGAACCGAATCTAAGACAGTCTAAACTAACCTGTGGAAATAGATAAGATTGGACAAAATTATATGTCATTTATGATCGATATATTATTTATATCACAATAAAATATGCAAATCTATCTGTGTCTGTTAGATTTGAAAATTGTGATATCAATAATATTCTTCAGATAATGAACTTTCAAATCTGACCTTAAACAGTGTAGTATCCTGGAACTTTCCTTCCATATTAAGACATAAATGAATATTTCTGCCTTGAAAATATATATTATAAAATCTAACGCACGCTCTGATCGGTAGCCTTGGAACAGGAACACATATCGGTCTAGGATTTTTCCCTGTAATAACGAAATAAATTAAGAAAATATAATAAATATAGAAGCATGATTAGCATGAAAATATGATTTATTTCTTTTATCTATAAATTATCAAAATTAATTGATTATTGATGTATTGGTTCTTAATATTATTCTATTATACTTATTCTATTATATTATTCGCTTACCAGAAACAGTTCTTGTGTAAATAATTCTGTCGTTCATCATGATATTCGCGGTGAAGCTGAACTCATCAGGATCATACGTGATATTTACGCAGGCTTTTTGTTTCCACGTGTCGTATAGGATTCTTGAACAACATGAACAGACACCACCGCTACACTGACAAGGTCTGTTTGTAGTGACCGTGTCATTTTCTGATGCTGATGAATTTGAAGCCTGCCTCAAGAGTATCTTCACTTGCTCCAGATCTTCTTGCGATTTTGAGAGATCTTCGAGCTCACTGTTAAAACTTTTTTCTGTCGTAAAACTTTCGTCAGCCTTTGATCCTGACACTAAGCATGATTGCACGAGAACGATGCTCAACAGCAACCAGTAAACGGTCTTCATCTTGCGTCCTTGATCTTGTCTGACATTCAACGGAAACAAGAGGACATCTCCTTGAGATGTGCCTCCTTGCTGGACGATTGAAACTCGACTGGCCGGTTAACGGACATTTATACTGACCTAGTTTTACGGTGAAATTTAGGCTTGGCTTGCTCGTCCGCATTTTGTTATTAACTAGAAAAGAAGCAACAGGATTCTATGGAAGTGCTGTTCTCTCATATATCTTTTATTGTTAAATATAGTAGAAATATAAAAATTTATAACAAAATTTGAATATTTGAATTTTGAGAATTAAATTAATATGATTCACCATTAATATTGATAATGCAAAGTTCTCGAAGATATTGTCTATAATTGAAGCACAAGCTTTATTTAATGAAGGGAAGAAACTCAGTAAACATCTGCAAGTTACATGTAACGTATATACATGTTAGTTGTAACGTTCCATTCAACAATATATTTATTTATAACTAAAATAATATGTATAAATAAAACATTAACTGTAATATATAATAAATACATTTATAACATTATAATAACAACGTCGATCTTGTATACATGTAATTTTATAATATTATGTCGACATTATATCTTTAATTGACCAATGTTGTTCTCCTCCTCGGGAGTCATATTTGAAGTATGATTGCTTAGAAAGTTAACAGAAACTGGCTCGAAGTCCACTGGATCGTATATTTCCGGTCCATTCACTTCTGGTTTAATCGCTGTCAGTTGAGGAACACTACTGTTATTGTCGGGTTTTATCCAAGAAACTCCATCTGCGCCAATCTTTACACAATCGAAGTGCAAAACCAAGACTGGCCACGTTACTACAAGTGCCTCTAAATCAATGCACGCATGCAGATTTCTGCCGGATAAGTAGACATCGAAGACACGTACGCAGAAGGATATGAAAGGTGGATAGAAAGGCACGCAGAACGGTATTTGATTTCTGTCTGCAAATTAATTGATTCCATTATGCAATAAATATATAAAAATTTAACGGATTTAAATCTACATAATTAGTTAAAAGCTTGTTAATCATAAATTTTGTGAAAAATTTACATTCAAGTGGCACTCACCAGAAAAAGAATTGGTATTAAGAAGTTCTTTTTCATTTACTATAAGTTTTAGATTCATGGCAAGATTCTCAGGGTAAAAGGTAATATTAGTGCAGGCATAACGGTCAATATTAAATCTAGTTATGTTGATGCCATTACAACAGCTACATATAAGACCCTCGCAGTTGCAGTTTGCACCATAGAAACCGATCCCAGGAAAGGAGTCACGACCGACATATTCTAATGCACCTTTCAATGCTAAACGTGTGTTCGGATCGTAGAATATACTAAATCCGTCTGAAAAAGCAATTTATGAAAAGTATATTAGAAACACATACGGAAAAAATGTGTTAATAAAAAATACAATTTTTTTTTAAATAATAGCAATAATTTATAAAGGTAATTAAAAAGTAATAAAATTTATCTAAAGGGAAACAATATTAAATGTAATTTTTTTTATTAATTGTACATTTTATCTTTAATTCGTGCATTTTCATGTAATAAAACAATAATATGATATATTTACTCCTATCGTAATAATAACGCTAATATCTTTATTACAATATAATAATTGTATATTTGCAATGTATTATGATAAAAAAGTAATTTTTTTATTTATAAGTTTGTGCTATTATTATATATTTTTATAGTGTTTAAATAGAAGTTCTATATATCTTTCGCAAGTGCTGTTTTTTCAAACTATAAAATATTAATTAATTAAACTGCTTCTTACTAATATAATTGATGTAATTGTTCGCACAAATATTCTGAACACCTAAGACCAAAAGAGATATAAGCAGCCACTTAGTTAACATGATGGCACAACTGTACAACCTGCACGCTTCAATGCTAATAGAAGACTGAAATTGGGCACACGTTGGACCAAGACGCAGAGACACCTGTTCATTAATTATGCATCAACTTTCAATGGTAGGTAAAGAATGCTTAATTGCAACCATTAAGTGATAATTCACGACGCAAAGAACAATCAAAGACGAAAGACATAAATACACCTTTATTCTTACAAAAAATTTAAGTTTTAAATGATTATTAAATCTGAAAAAACTCTCATTAATCCGAAAACTTGAAATTTTGCAAAAAGTATGCACGTACTGAATGAAAATCAAATTACACAAGTGTTTTGAATTTTGGCAATAAAACAGATCTAAGGATGCAATCTCTTTAAAGAAACTTGATTTTTTCTACCTTTATTTATTATACAATACATTTTTAAAATCACAAAGAATATTCAGAAAATTAGCTTTTAATTTTTAAATTTAACAATAAAGAGGTAATATTAATTATTAATTTATTTTTAATTTAATGCAACATTATCCAAAATAATACATCAAACAAGCAGCAATTCGAGCTCTCGTTACGTAACAAAATTTAAGATTTCATTTCACATGATTTAAGAAAATATTAAAGATAAGAGTCCGCTTGTCTTAATACACGTGTGTTATTATCGTGCTTGAGTTTATTATTAAAATCTGTTTGTGTTTACGAATATAAAACTCTTATCTTTAATGTCGTACATATTAAGCACTATCAAATAATCCTAATTTTCTCCGTTGCGTACAAAATAAGTGCTTAAATACTTAAATCATTGCATGATGAAAACGTTATATCATTTTATAAATAAAACTACATTTAAAGATATCATAAAATAATTAAAAGCATTAACATATTTTTATAATATTTTTATAATTAATTATTACAATTCAATTTTTTTAATTTTTTGACAGAATTTTAATTATTAAAAATATATATTAAATATTTTTATACAGAATTTTAATAATTCTAATAAATTTAATTAAATTAGTGTATATTCCATTTAACTAATTTAAATTTAATTATAACAAAAATTCATTAATTAAAAATTAAATTAACAATTATAAATATGAAAGGTATATGGTATTTACAGATACAGCGCGTTATATTTATTTATTTATTACAGAATCAATAAATAACTTAATAAGTACATAAATCATAAATATTTGCCCTTAATAAATAACGTACGTTAATCTAATCAAGCAAATTATTATGGCTGAGGTCACGAACAATTCGAGATATATTTTATATATATATTATATATATATAAGTCTTTTTTATAAACAAAAAAATTTTTGTGTTATATAAAATCCTTCTAGGATTTTGTTTCCAATACATAAATATTTTCTAATTACGCAATTCTATTTGAGCCTTCTCTCAAGAAAGTTCTTCCATCTTTGTTGTAAAATCTCATATCAGTCTCCATATTATTCAATAAATAAAAATAAATTAAATAAAAATTAACTACATTAAGAAATAAGATAATTGTGATAGCGAAGTAAACTGCTTATTTTTCAACAATCCAGTTATTGTAATGTAGCTGCTATTGTTAATGAACCCTTTTTACAATTACATTGTAATTAGAAGATAATAAAATAATTAGAACGTCGTAGAAACACGAACCCGTTATTTTTAGTAAAATTGCGTGTCGAGAAACGTTGACTTTTATAATCTCATGATCACTGTCACAATTATACCAATCTATCGAATCTCCGCTAATCCGAACAAAACATTTTGAGTTTTGTTGGATCAACGAACTCATGGCCAGATAAGAAGGACGACCTTTCTTCAATTATTCTATTGACTGGAACAATGATCTGTACACTTCAAAGCCTCGTAATTTTCCTTTGTTGATTTTCACTGAAATGCCTCTTCCTCCCAAGAAATCCCAATTCAAAGCCGTAATCATCGTCATCGTGCTCGACATTAGTTTGATTAGATTTGATATCTTCTTTACTTTTCTTATTTTTGCCAGTACCTATAAGAGCGCTTAGCATGGCATTTTCCTCTTCATCGTCATCATCATCTAAATCGGCAAGATCCTTTTCGTCATCGTCATCGTCATCGAGTTCTTCATGCTTCTCATCATCCAGTTTGTCGTCATCTTCATCTTCGTCTTCGTCTTCATCCTCGTCATCTTTATCATCATCGTCATCGTCTTCGAGACTGTCATCTTCGTCGTCGAGATCTTCATCATCATCATCATCTAAAATGTCGTCATCATCATCATCCTCATCCTTGATGGGTTTTTTCACTGGCTTTTCAGGATCGTGAATGGCGTTTATACTGGTCGATGTCACTGTGGGTTTCTTTTTGTTTCCAATGACTCCCTTCTTCACTTTATTGACAATTGGCGTCTTATCGGGTTTCGCAGTATACACGATTTTGTTGGAGGATTCCGTGATTTGTTCCTTATTCTCATCAGTGCTGTCTTCGGTATTGCTCTCGGTCAATCCTGTATCACGATTTTGTTGGAGGATTCCGTGATTTGTTCCTTATTCTCATCAGTGCTGTCTTCGGTATTGTTCTCGGTCAATCCTGTATCTTCTTCTTCTTCTTCTTCTGCTTTGAATGGTTCCTCAGTGCTGTCGTGTTCCTCGTAGTTAATATCCTGCTCGTTGCTGAAGGTGGACAGCTCATGATCTTCCAATGGTGCTGGAGTCGTTGGCCGTGGTAGAATTGGTATAGTGAATTCCAATAACGGCGCCGCAGTAGTAACCTTAGGTCTTGTCGGCACTTCGTCATCGCCAGTAAAGATATCTAATAGAGCACTGAAACCTAACGGATCGTCATCGTCGTCATCATCATCTGATTCTTGTGCATCAACTTCCGAACCATCGGGAACGGAATTTGTAATGGGTCTTTCATCATCTTCATCGTCCTCGTCATCATCCGAACCGAGTCCGAAAAAATCATCATCATCGTCTTCTTCTGAACTAGCATCTGTCTCGATAGTTGGAAGTGGCTCAGCCGGTCGAAGCTTCAGACCATCTGGACCAAATCTAAAATTCAAGATCGAATTATGAAACGTTATCTTTCACACAACATAGTCCTCTAAGGAATAAGATATTTAAGACAAAGGAGGTGCCTCAGAGATCTGTATTGTGTGGAATATTTTAATAAATAATTTGCATATTAATTTTTTTTATCTTTTTTCTTTACGAATTTTTCTTGTATCTTGTAAATTTAGAGAAAGAACAATTCAAATTTGTTACTATTTTTTTTCATTGTAAATACCTGAAACAACTAACACGAAGCGTAGCTTCCAACTCGGTAGGGGATTGCAGTTCTAAGCCGAGGCATGCTTTAAAATGATTCTTCGCATCGCGTTGGATGGAATAAATCCTGCCACAAAATTGGGTAAAGCCACCAGGAAGCGGTACGCACACAGGCTTCGGATTCTTTCCTGAAATTTATAATGTTCAACGCATATACAAATCGAACTTTATATATTATAATTCTTTCAAAACCATTCACTGAAATTTCAAGATAATGTACATCTAATAAATAAGAAATAAAATGTCCAAACGGAACAAAATTTTATTGAAATTGAAATTTTATATTGAAAAAATGTCTCAGACTTGTATTATCTGTATGTGATGATATCTGGAACCTGTTTAGCTCAAACAAATTGAGGTCATTAAAAGCGATTAAAAAAGAACAAACACACTCAATGTCAAAAAACCGTCTGTGTAAATACTTTCGCTTCGCTAAACTGACATGAATTCATCTAGTAGCGCCTATTCATCACCGTTGACTTCGCTCACGCCCGCATGTGTGCATGTGTGTGTGTGTGTATGTGTATGGTGTAATTTCATGAACGCACATACCAGAGAAATTGATCTTACACATACGAAATTGACACGACAATGTGAAATTTACCCAGTATAATGAAGCAAAAGTATTTTTTATGTAGCTATTGCATATAGTTTCGTGTTCTTTAAAAGGAAGTAAAAGTTTCAAATACCATGTATGCACTGTATCGACAGATTTCAATGACAATAATAAACACTGCCGGGTGAAAGTCGAATTATAACTTCCTGAACATTACGTTAATATATATCCACCAAACGTTGATTCACGCGCAATTAACACACTTTTCTTGTTAATATTGTCGAACGGTACACGTGCATGATTTAGTCTCTTACAAAGCATGTGACACAAATTGTCCATCAAATAAAGAGGTGTATGCTTTCAACGACTATCAAGCTTAGTTTTTCCATAGTTTATAATTGTATTGTTTCAAATCAACAATTATCGGAATAGCGCTAAATAAATGAAAAAGAGATCTTATTATATTTTATTAGTGAATTTTCTATAATTATTCTCAACGATTTTATTTTATTTCTTCATTTCTGTAATATTACGTTTTCAGACTTTGCCATTCATTAAAATTTTCTTAAATTAAATAAATAATTCATAAGAGATATTGATTAATTAGAGAAAGTGCCAGAAGAAAGAATGTGTTAATCGTGACTATTATAGACAATGAATGTGATTACCGTTAACAATCGTGCTGGTTAATATGTTGTCGCCGAAGCTCAGCTGGACTGCCAAATTGTCACCTTGAAGATACTGCAACGAAGCGCATCCTAGAATTTTACATACAAAAATTCTTTCAGGAAAAATATATTTATAAAACATAATAAGTTTTATTATAAAGAATTGCAAAATTAAATTTTAGAATTAAATTTTACCATAAAATATGCAGAAATAAATTCTATTTTATGTAAAATACAAGGTGATCCATTTAAATCAAACATTTTAAATATTTCGCTTATTTTTGATGATATAAAAAATGTTTCAGATGGAAATGGAAGTAGTTTCGAAGAAGACATATTTTAATCATGTTGTGTTTTTCTAAGTGAAGGTACCAAAAATACATAAAAGTCATCTCCATTTTTTTAAATAAAAACGTAATTTTTTTTACATAATATAATTCCTGTGTTTATTCTACATATAAAAGTATCAAGGTAATGATATCAAAAAATTAATAGCTTTCGGATTATTTAATATTTTATGTCAATACATGCCAGAATAAAATATAAAATATCTCGTAAACTATTGACTTTTTTATATCACTACCTTAACACTTTTATATGTAGAATAATTAAAGAAATTATATTATGTAAAAAAAATTATGCAACTCCACTTAAAAAATAGAGGTGACCTTTATATCTTTTTGGCGCCTCCATCTAGAAAAAGCACAACGTGACCAAAATACGTTCCCTTCGAAACCGTTCCACTTTCATCTGAAACATTTTTTTATATCATCAAAGATAAGCGAAATATTCAAGATGTTCAATTTAAGTGGACTAACCTGTATATAACGTAAAAGATATGACGTACAATATATGACAACACGATACTATAGATAACAAACGCATTAATAGTAAAGAGCAATGTGGGAATACAAGTATGTAATTATACACTTACGTTCCCATTCTGCACTTTCATTTTTCGTGTGCAATTACATTGCGTGATAATTACCCGGTCCTTTTAGTTGAACGAGCGGTATGTGAAAGTCCCGACAGCAATTGCAAATGTTCTCGTTGCAGGTGCAGTATCGGTTTACGCTATCGGTCGCCTGTTTTAGCGACATCGTTGTTAAATCTATGTCGCTCTGTTTCACATTATTCGCGGCTCGTGTCACCCGATGAGTCGTCTCATTACGATCTGTAAACATTTTGTAATTTAAAGCCGTTTTAAATCTACAAGAATCAGGAATCTTATTTATAATTTTATGTGGCGCGGAATATGAGCAAAATTATGTAAAATGTGCACATAAAATCTATATTAAAAAATACACATGTGTGCAATAAAATATACGTATATAATTTTAAACAAAATTCTGAAATTCTAAAATCCTCTAATTTAAGATAGTATAAAATAAGATTTAAATAACATGAGATTGTTTATTCTTATATATATATATATATATATATATATATACACATATATACATTCATATAAGCAATGAAATCTGTATGAAAATTTATTTCTATGTTTTACAAATTCATATTTTTGCTCTTTTATTATTAGTTTTTTTCTTAAAGCTGTTTCTCTCACCAATTACTCGGCCGTAAGCCGCAAAGGCCACCAACAAGAGGATCAGCAACAGCTCAAAAATTGTCGATAATCGCATCTTTTCACTTTGTTCTAGAAACAATGCCAAGAACATATAATACGGTTGTAATGTTACTGTGAAAAATAACCATTTCATATGTAGTGGCACGCACGTTCCAGTCTTATTACAGTTTCTTTCGGTCGATTCTAATAAAAAAAACACGACAATAAGAACTGTAAAAACATCAAATATTTTACGCACGTGCCGCAATTCTGAATTAGCGACAAATATTATTTTGTAGTTTTATACCTGCTTTATATAGCAAATGTATTTTTCTAATGTATACTGAAATTATTTTTTTTTTTAAAGATTAAATTTTTTTAACACGCTAAGAAAAAGATTGATTAAATTTTAATGAATATTTCTTTGAATGATCTTAATGGAATATTTACTTATATTAAATAAACATATTTAAACAAATAAAAAAATGGTAATTCAATCAAACTAATGATTTTCGTGTGTAATAAATAGACATTTAATAAATATTCCGCTATGACTATTCAAACAAATATTTATTACAATTTAATAAATTTTTTCTCGGTGCAGATATCTGTTAGATAATAATCAGTATATATCTCATTTTATCACTGATTAATAAAATAAAATATTTACACATATTTGAATTAATATAGCTGCAAATTTTTCTTAAAATCGTTTAATTGATTAATATTTCTATAACGTTCAGGTCTTTTTTGATATATCTAATTTTAGTAGTGAAACATTTAGATGCCTATATTTTACATACACTTATTAAACTTTTCCTCGAAAGCTCGTTTCATCGATTAAACAATTTTAATTAAGATCGCGCTCATCATTTATTTTACGCAGTTTGCGTAAATTTATCTTACTATTCATAAAGACATTAAAAAAAGAAGAGTACGTTGAATGTGTTTCTTTTTTCATAATTATTTCTTCCGCCTTCCGATAATTATCCCATATAACCTCGTCAGCAAACAATAGAGACACTCGTTCCGCTCATCAATTGTCGAGGTAGAGCGGTAATTCTTTACCTTTCTACTTTCCGATTTATAAAAATATTTCTACCAGAACCACCGTGATTCTTTTATCTTTCAGATAAACAACCGGACAAATCGTCCCAGACGCGTATTCTCTTTCCGGTTTCAAACGCGAGTTGCGACCGGTTGACCCAAATCCCGGTCACGGTCAAAGGCGTGTGTATAAGAAAGGCGCTTACTTGAGAGACTCGATGAGACTTTAGTAGCACGAGGAGACGCGTAGCTTTACGTGCGGAATAAACACTCGTGTCACCGTTATAAAGTGCGTTACATATGGTCAAGGTGTTGGATACGATCAACACTATGTTTTGACACGTCGTACGCAGGATGGATTCCTCACGCGTCGCTTCGTATACGGAGATCGAATCGCGGAAGTGATAGTGCGAGAAGTTTAATTGAGCGCAAACGGTAATCTATAAAATGATTTCTATATATTCTTGCTTCATAAATCTACACTTGTTAAGAAAGCAGATAGATAATCAGTATTCATCAAAATGAGGCAAGATAATAAATATTATAAATAAATAATGCATTTACATTAATTATAACATAATTATGTAATAATAATATATGCATCTAGATTGTATACTATTTATATTTAATGGCGCATGTATAATATTTAGTTTCCGAATAATTTAAATGTATCAAATAAAATTCTTGTCAATTTGATATAACACATAGTAAAAAAGCAGAGCTCATGAAATGTTCGTTAATTTTATTTTACATATAAGCTCTATTTTATTAATTAATAATTTACAGACATATAATTCTTATACTAAACGTGTAGAAGCTACATAGAAGAGATATATTATTTTATACGAATTATTTATAAAGAATCACGCATTACCACATTAATTATTCACTACACGTGGGTGATTCTTTGGTAAGAGACTTCACGTTTCTATCGTGATGCGTTTCCCAATTTCTCAGATCCTCCAAATACATAAATTGTAACTTTACCCACCTGTGAGTTGTTGAGAAGAAATCCGAGGAGGCAGCCGTGCTTGTGCTCTCCTGTCTTTTGCACCCTACAGCTCTTTTTCCCTGACTCTTCGTCTTACGAAGGCCAATGTCCAACTGAAGATGCCGCATAACTCCCCCCAAGGTTTCTTTAAAAGTCGGTCAGGCCACCACCACCTGTCCACCAAGCCGCTGCTAGGATTATTAAACATTCTAATGCGCTCTAGGTAAATCAGAGGCGGCCCCTAACCAACCAACGTCGTTCCGATCCTATGTCGTCCTTCATTGGACTACGACGGCGTCGCGCGTCGCCGTCGTCTCGACGACGAAAGCGGGAAGCGGGAAGTCCACTTTTCCATCTCTCCTCAAACCAGTACCAGATGGTTCCGGATGATTCAACTCACACGAAAATGCCCGCAGGAGAGGGGAAAGTCACGCTGGTGACTTCCGACGTCCTTTAATTGCGTCCGGATTCCGACAGAAAAAGCGACAAGCCGCCCCGGGGACGATCTTGGCGATATGCTTATCTGAACTTGTTTAGGTTGTTATTATAAAAAGTTGAATGATATATGAGGTATTTCGAATTAATATTGAGGTGATATACATGACAGAATTACATACACGATTTAATTCGATTATATATAAGATATTATAATTATATTATAATTAATTTACAGTCATCATAAAATAATGTAATCTACTATTATATATTTTTTTACCAACACAACGAAATTATATCTATGACTCGCAATGCATCTACGAATAGCGTAAGTGACTTTATTCGCATTGCACACACACACACATACTAATTTTATTTTAAAATACTTTGCATCTACATTATTTAGTGTACATGGTTCTTAGTAACCAACAAATCAGCTCTTTAATCTCTTTGACAACTATTGACAAGATAATCACTTCAAGAGTACCTCAAGTAAATAAAAAATCTAACATAGACAAAGTTGATATTCTTTTTATAATTTTTTTTCTTCAATGGTTTCAAAACTTGTTTTCTTGAATATTTTTTTATTACCTATACAGTTAAAATAAAATGGTAGATATTACAAATATATGTACAAGTAAACAAATTTTATATAGACACATATATATAATTATATAATATACTATATATATATATGTAATATATAAATTAAAATTTTTTTTATTCTAAAAAAACTTATAACTTTCCTCAAAGAAATCAGATATGTAGCATTGAGAATTAACATCATTAATCGAAATTATTTCCATTTTTTTAAAAATATTTTCTAACTTTACGCTCAGACACTATCAGCCGATGCCATAAACTCGTACCAGCCGTGAATACCACTGTCCGCGACACAAATTCTAACCGAAGACCCACTTTCGTGCGCGTCCAGTCTCTCGCGGGAGTTTCGTCGCCGTACGAGAGAAGAAAGAAAAGAAAAATATCCGGAACGCAACAAACGACACGAGTGCAGTACAAAATTAATGCAGGTGCTCGCTCGTACGTTCATACATTTGTTCATTTGTTCGTACGTTCGTTCGTCTTCAATCGATTCACGGAATCGTGTTTTGGCGGTTAAGGAGGGGCCTTTCTCCGGTTAGTAGGTCGAAGAAAGTAGTAGGCTCACCAAGAGTGGTTTACCTTGGTTAATATTTGTTCGTTTGTTCTCCAATGCCTTAAGTCGTCGATAGCGATGGCATCAAACTTATCGCGAGCAGTGACTTATTATTTTAGATCACGATATTCCACTTCATTAAGTTCTTCAAGAAATAATAGCATATGAAGGAGAGAAATTAAAATTCTAATAAAGATTATTATAGCAGAGAGATTTTAAATCCTAATTTTTAGACGCATTTTAAGCGTCAAACAAAGCTTTAATTCGATATAAAATTATTTATAAATACTTTGATAAAAATTGCTCCTGTGCGATGTTTTGAAAGCCAGAAGAAATATACAGATTTCTTCAATGATAGGAATGCTTGGAATTAAGTTACCAAAAGCATCATTCTGTTTGATCCCATCGCTACTCGGGCTATCAAGGATATGATAACTCGATCTTCAGGGATTCCTAAGCTGATGAACGAGGCGTATGACCCGGAAATATGTAGGTCCCGATTAAACAGGAGGCAAACGAGTTTTTACGTAACGTCGTGGAATAATCGTTTGGATGCTACGTACATACCTCCGCGTTCTCTTCGCTGTTGCATCGCGTTGCAGAAAAGAAAAAAAAAAGAGAAAAAAAAAGGATTGTGGGTGGTTTCCGACACGTGTAATCACGCTTATCGACGATTAGATCCGCGATTAAGGCGGAGTAATCGCACATCCGTGACATTGACGTCTCACGATCTTGACAGCATAACGCTATTATTTGCGCAATTATCTAACCGCCAATCGTTTTCGCGGCGACGATCGATGACAGAGCAGATTATAAGCAAATTGCTTCCGATCGTTCCCTCTTCTGACGTAATTCTATATAGACTGGAAGAGAAATCGATTTTTTTCGATCAGATGTATTTTCGAAATTGATGAGAAATTGTAATCTACATTTCTCTCTCTCTCGTGACCTCGTCTCCCGACTTCATCGAATGCCGTTCGATACATTTTGTGCTAACGCAAAAAAAAAAAACGAATTTTACAAACGAATAGAGAAAGTCTCATTTCTGCTGTTATAACGAATCGGATCTATTTTCAGAAAGGAATGTTCCCCTTTAAAGGAGAATATCTTTTCACTCGGCCCATTCCATGGTCACGTCAACATACATTTCGTTCCGTTTCTCACCTCTTGTAGTCACGCGTGGCCAACCGCGCCCACGCTCCAAAAAAAGAAAAACATTAAGAACGCGACACGCTATGCAATCGATAGAACAGAATCGTAAGTGATTTTGCAGTTCGTGACTTTTCTTCAAACGGTGAAAGCCAAGGAGAGGATCCTCAAGTAGAAGAAAGGAGATAAGTCGCGTAATTAAATTAGAAAACACTCGCTCGCAAAGTAAAATGAGCTTTGAACACTTTATATATATATTAGTGTTTTTTTACTTATGGAAATTTTACGCAGAATCTCTACAGAAATTTAAAAAGCAAGAAATGTGTTGTCAACA